ACACAACGCAGGCTCTCCTCACATGCCACGTCTCCACCACGGGTCTTGCAGAACTCATGCAGAGGGACTCAGAGATGAGGCCACTGGGCTCTTCCTTCTTAGGGATGCAGCATGCAGGGATTTTTGTGTGCTGCTGTTCTCCTAGAACGTGACAGTCCTCATAGTGACCCCTGGGATACAAAGCTTGTTTTGTTTGATGCCTCCAGGAGGCATCACAGTGACACCATGCTAAGTGACTTGGGACAGCTCTTTAGCTCTGCCCTGTCTGTGCTCTCATCAACCCAACTCCACTGGGCTCATGTTGAGAGGGCACAGGCCTTCTTTCCTAATTCCTGTAGCCACTGTTTTTTGTAGATACATTCCAGGACAGCTTTTTTTTTTTTTTCCAGAAAGCTGGCTGACCATCAGCTAAAACACTTCAGCAGATCTCTGTTTATAATACTGTAATCCAGCTGTCTCATTTTCTTCCTTATAAAAATCACTTGAGGATGGCTCAGGGAAACAAACAAAAGCATTAAAATCCCCACGTGGTTTTAGGTGTCACATGAAATGAGAATTTGCTGGCGCTGCCCAGAGACGGGTCAAGGCTATGCATTTGAGATGAAGTTTCTTTCTTCTTTATTTTAAACCTGATCTGTTTGTGAGGCAGAGCCCATGAAGCGTCACCCTGAAACACAGTCATTTGATTTCCTTTCTCCAGTGCCACCTGTCACATTGCCTAACCACCTACAGTTCATTCATCCTGAGCATTATACTCTTGCTGTCAAATAAACTATATACCAGAGAGAAAGAAGACACAACAGCTAAAAAAATAAAAAACTTCAATAAGGAAATGAAAATTAATGTTGCCACATTAAAAGTCTTCTCTAACACTGCACATACTCTGTTGTCTCCAAGGAGAGCAATGAAATCAAAGTGGTGTAACTGTCATTTTAAATTAAGAAGGACTCTGGAAATGAAATTGAACCTGCACTATTTGGAGGGGGACATTTAAAGTAACGATATTTAGTTATAAAATGTCAATTGAGGTCATGAGGTTTCATTTGTTTATTTCCTCCTGTTTTTCCAAGGCCTTTTGGGAATTCAAATACTTTACCCAAGTCTTCATAATTCTGTTTGCTGCAAACTATTCCATGGACAGCCAACGCTCCAAGTGTGGACTTATGGCTTGAAGGAAGGCAATCTTTGGGCAGGGATTAGGCATGGTGGTTAAGAGACTGCATAGGAGTGCCATGTCAAAGAATCTATGCTCAGGTGTCGGCTGTTCTCCCAATTCCAGCTTCCTGTTCACATATATCTTGGAAGGCAGCAGATGCTTGGTCAGATAGTTGGGTCCCAGCCAGCCATATAGAAAGCCTAGAGTGAAATCCCTGTTCAGACTGACCCAGCTCCTGTTACTAGCAGCATCTGTGGAGGCTACTGCATCTGATTTTCAAAAAACAAACAATAAGATATATTTGTAAATGGCAGTGGCAAGAAAGTAAAAAAAAATCCTTGGAATATTTAATTAATTCCTTGGATTAATTAAGTAAATTAATGAAATGGATTTATTAAATAAATAAATAATTCCTTGGAATTAATTTTAACCGGTGACTTGGTAACCAGTTCTGAGTTTTGCCACAAAATTGTGGGTACCACAATCACATTGTCTGTGTCTGTACCACACTGCTAGAAATGATACAGCCTTGACTCACGCAGAGAAAATGGCTTCTGAAAAAAGAGCCGACTCAAGCACATGTCAGCACTGCAGGTCTGACAGAGGTCTTGAATGTTGCTCTAGTTTTCTTAGACATTCAGAAGGAGCTTCCTGTCAACGCATATGTTACTTGGGATGGCATTTTATTATTCTCTAGTTTTATTTATGGAAATGTCACATAATCCCCTAGGCCCACCTGAAGATGTGAGCAAATGAGGAAACAGAGTTGTCAAGGCTATCTACAGGCTTGGGCAAAGCAAGTGGCAGATGAAAACTCATTACCCAAATTGCAGTTTCTCTCTTTGGGAAGTTAAGGGGGGCGGGGGGGAAATAATTCATTTGAAATATGGGAACCGGTCTGTGCATCCTATGTAAATCACAACATCCCCGAATGTCAATTTTCTCAGCTACAATGTGGGAATGACATGTCCTACCTGTCGTGTAACACAGTTATGAGGAACCTTGACAAGATAAATCTGTATCACCTTCTTTGTCCATGGTAGAAATGATGTAAACTCCTTACTACAAAGCAATGGGAACATTGAGACCGATGGTCGGAGGGTGAGTGGGAGCAGGCAGAAGCCTGAAACCCTGGCTTGTCTTGTAATTAGATATGTTCCATTTGTCAAGTCAATGAGCTGCTTTGTTTCTTCCTTCAGCTATACTTATGAAGTTGTAGCTGAACGTGTTGAGTATTTTTTGATGCTCTCTATGAGATTCCCATCCCAGTTTTCTTTCCCATGCCTGTACTTGCTGCCTCCCAGACACTTGGCTCTACTCTCTAAAGATGAATGCCTGGAACATTTACTGCTGTGAAAAGGCGAGATGTTGCCAAGTCAGTGTAACAAACACATTTGCAGTCTCGCTGTGATTCTTTTCTTTTTAAGGATTGTTAGATGCCTACAGCAGCCTAATTGCATTAAAATCATCATGCAAAGTATCTTAAGGAGAGGGGGCTAACTCATTTTAGGTATTACTGAAATGTCATCCCTGGACCGCTTACAGGAACTCATGGAGACACTTGAGTCTGCGAGGCAGTCACAGGGACAGCCTTCTCCCAGGGGTCCCCTCTTCGCCTCCGATCCCCAGCGCTGCTTCGACAGCAACAAATACCGTCCACTCAAAGAAACAGCTGCTTCCTTAGATTTAGAAACCAAGAGGAAAAAGGCAAATTCCCTAGGCAAAATGCAGGCCATGGTTTTGTACGGGAAAACTCCGGTAGAGTGAAGTTTTCCTGTGAGTCCCGCAGCAAGAGTCAGGCGTGAATAGCAAAGTGATGGACAGTCATCACTAGAAAGAACAGCTTTCCCTGGAGTGTATTATTCAAGAGGCCCTGCCTCCCCAGGCTGCCTCCTTGAACCCTATGCCTGGACCTAGGACACAGCATTTCTTCATGCCTGGTTATAGGAACTCATTCCGTCTCCACACCCCTTGAAACACAGACGGCCACACCCGCAGGCAGATACACAAACATACCACATGCACACACTAAACTGATGTTGCCCAATCCTTTGCCATTCCCAGCATAACTTCCCTATCTGCTATATTAGGTTCCTCAAAACATACTAAGGAGGTAAGGCAGGTTCTCAACAATTTTGCAGAGAAGAGTGAATCTTAGAAAATGCAGATAGAGGTGGGTGTGATAGCTCAATTGACTAATCATCCACCTGTAAGTGCCAGCATCCCCTATGGGCACTGGCTCATGTCCCAGCTGTTCCATTTCCCATCCAGCTCATTGCTTGTGGCCTGGAAAAGCAATGGAGGGTGGCCAAAAGCCTTGCACACATATGATAGACCAAGGGGAGGCTGCGGGCTTCTGGCTTTGGGTAGGTTTAGCTCTGGTCCTTGCGACCATTTGGGAAGTGAATCAGTGGATAAAAGATCTTCCTCTCTGCCTGTTTTTAAATCTCTGCAAATAGGCCTTTTGCATTTAAAAAAATCTTTTTTTAAAAGGAAAGAAAGCATAGGTTATTTGATTAGCTTCCCAAAGATATCGGAAAATCTAGGCCCAAAGTTAAATGTCTTGATTGCAAACATAGTACTTCCTATACCATTCAGAGAGAACTTGGACTTTGTTTTTTTTTTTAAGTTCATCTTAAGTTTCCTGGGATGCTGAGCATATACACAACAAAGCCACCGGCATGTTATGTGCTCTGCTGCTGAGCAAGGATGTAAATTCATGAGATTTACTTGTGTTTTAACTTTTCCATTGTATTGTATTCATTTGAGAGGCAAAGAGAAAAAAAAAAAGAGGGGTCATCCACTAGTCGTTCTCCAGATGCCTGCACAAGTCAGAGGTCGGCCATGGGCAGACAGGGTCCAGGAACTCAGTCTACGTCTTACATGTAGGTGGCTATAATCCAGCTACTGGAGCCCTTATTGCTGCCTTCTGGGATATGCCTTGGCAGAAGGCTGGCTTCAGGAGCCAGAGCCAGGGGCCAGAGCTGGGAGTCAAACACAGACATTCTGATGTGGGCCACGGACATCCTAACCAGGGTCTTCACTGCTAAGCTGAGTGCTCACCTTAGGACATTTTTCAATATATACTAGGTTTGTGTGGATGTTAGTCAAGGAACATCTAGACATAGAAATGGCCCTGAATTCAGGAACATAAAATGCTTACACCATGAAAATCAGCATACCACGAACTTTCAATATACAGTTCATATGCAGTGATTCTTTAAAGTGTAGTAGGGAGAAATACTGGCTAGAAATGAGCCTGGGGTGGGAGAGGGAGGCTGCAGAACATGGAGAAGTAGTTTTCCAGAGGAGGGGGACTGAGAGCTGACTCTCTGGGTTCTGGCCTCAGAGCACCTACTCGGCCCATCTGTTGAGATCACAGCAGATGGAGCACATCAGAAACACAGTCTTCTTGTTTATGTTTCTTTAATCCCTTAAACTTGGCACCTAAGGAATTGTAGAAAGAAAACAAAAGTTCATTTTTATATCATCATTTGTAGTAAAAGGACATGGACATTATCTCTCAGGGCACTATTTCATTCTTTCCCTCCCTTCTCCCTGGGTTTTATAATTAAGCCCTCAGGAAAGAAAAGCTAAAACTGAAGCTGAAGGTGATCTTTTCTGAAGAACCCACTCAGTTGCCTTGTTGTTGTTGTTGTTGCAGTCTCAGTGGACACCTGATCCTCTGCTGCCTGTTTGAAAACCAAGAAGCGTTGCCCTGATTTACCAGCCTACAACTTCTATGGACATTGACACACAGTCCATGCCAAGTGCATCCTCTTTAACTCTCGCATGAAAATTCGGTGTTCAGTATACACATTCGTCCTTTCACCGCTCTCTCAAGATGTCTGAGCAGGACTCTTCGTCCGGGTTTGCCAGCAGTGTAGAGAACGGCACCTTCCTCGAGCTGTTTCCTACTTCGCTATCCACCTCTGTGGACCCATCCGCGGGCCACCTGTCCAATGTCTACATCTACGTGTCCATATTCCTCAGCCTCTTAGCGTTTCTGCTTCTGCTGTTAATCATTGCCCTTCAGAGGCTCAAAAACATCATCTCCTCCAGCTCCTCCTACCCAGAGTATCCAAGTGATGCCGGAAGTTCTTTCACCAACTTGGAAGTCTGCAGCATTTCCTCTCAAAGGTCCACTTTTTCAAATCTCTCCTCCTGAAGAACATGGAAGAATCCTAGAATACAACTGCTTTAGATTTTCCTCATAGGAAGCATCTCAAGATGTGTTGTCTCAGGAGAGAAGAGACCTGTTTGCTTTAGATCCATTGCCCTTCTCCTCCATCTCCACTGTGTTTTCTGTTTGGATGCTTTGCCCCTCAGTGGAGAAGTTGATGCTGATGGAAATAAGGGCAAACCTCCAAGTGCAGAATTGTGAACTATGCCCTGGGAAAACCTGGAGCCAGCATATTAGGTGCGGGTCAAGCCGTTTCACTTCATTGGAGGCTGACTACCCGCTCAAGGCAGCTCCTAGGGGAGGCTGGATCTGGACCCTTGGTTTTCTCCGCTGATGAAACTGTGGGATCAACGGCAACTGGCAAATCACAGAAGCTATTTTCTCCATTTAAAAGTTACAGTGGAGACACTGAAGTAAGAAGAGAGGCAGTTTAGATTCTAAAACTGAGGGTAAAAATATGCTAACTGTTTACTTTTCTTTCAACGAGTGAAAACCACATGTATGGAAGGATGCAAGGCATTAAAAAGTTTTGGAGAAGTTTAACTTTCAATAGCAAGATAGATACTTGTTCTGATGCGGTTTATGATGCCTCTGAGTCTCCTTGGGTTTGTGGGTTTTTTGTTTATTTGTTCATTTCCACTTAAGTTGCAAAGCCAGAATGGCCGAGTTGTGGAATCCTTTGTGTTGATTGCTGTTTCTAAGAGCAGCACCATAGAGAAACTAAGTTTTTATCTTATATCTATAATTTCCATCTGCAGGAATCAAGCATAGGGAAAAGAAGCATTTAGCTGTATTTTATGCAGTACTGTAACTCCTAGCAATGGTGTCTATTTCTTTATTCAGTTTCATAGTCTTCATCCTTTAGTGCAGGATTATATCAAGGCTCCAAGATGTCAGATGTTTGTTAATCCACATTAGGTTGCAAACCTTCAAGATTAAATCACTAATACATGTGTTATTGCATATTTCACGAGCACTATATGTCTCTGGCAAGTGCTGTGTGTCAACTGTGTTAGGATTCCAGGTTCTGGATTTATGTTAGAATGTAGATGTTCAAGTTGTGCAGCTGTTGGGAGCTCTGGATCCCAGGAACTGCCATATTGTGCTCAGCCAAGTTCACCTGTAGTTGTGGGGAGTGGTGATAATCCATGAAATGTGACACACATGTGAGCATAGGCATAGCATGTGGAGGAAGTCATGCGGCTTCTAAAAACAAGACAAAGCCATCCAACTTTATCTTTTTAAAAGTAAGAGTTTTAATTTAATTTTTAAAATAAATGCCCCTTGGCACTTAACCTATTGAGAAGATTGCATTCACACAGGAACCTGATCATTCCTTGTGCAAAACACTTGAGACCGGAGGAGCATCAGCCCTGGCTCTGGGTGGATTGTGCACCCAGCGTACTGTGAGGGGACTGGAATGGGAAGAAGAACCCACCATTTTCACAGGACCTATCTTTGTAACTCTGAGATGCTGAGAGAGTGGAGGAGCAGAAGGCTGCTGCTGCTTTCCAATCCCCAAGCCTTGTGAAATCAGACCACATTTAACTCTTCTATCTCAAAATTGTTCCTGCTAACATATTCTTGCTCTGAATGTGAAGCAACATCACGGGAACATAATTTAACATTTTAGCAAACAGTTCAGTATGTTTTGACACACACCATAATTGAGATGAGAACATTTCCAGTACCCTTACAAGTCTGTCTTCTCCCTCTCTGGTCAACTCTTCCTGCTACCATCAGTCATACAGCCATTCATCTCTTCTTAGTGCCTAAAATATGGTCTTTGTCAGTGCTTTTCTAATGCAATCCTACAGGATGCAGGATCTGTTTCAGCCTGGTTTCTTTCACTCAGCATAGCATCTTTAAGACTAATTGACATCATTATATGCATCAGTCTTTATTATTTTATCCCATCCTATAGTTGGACAGCAATTTGTTTCTCTGTTAACCAACTGAAAATCAGTGGTTGTTACCACACATTTGCTACCTATGAATAAAACTCCCATAACCATTTTTTAAGTCCCCAAATGCCATAAAGCCAGCCAAGAGTTGCTGTGATGAAATATAAAATCAGTGAAAAGTTTGCCTCTGTTGCCAGGTGGCACAGTGTGTTGGGTGTGATTGTGTGGACGCTAGAATAAAGACACTATTTTTAATCACTATTAATATTCTCCCACTTAAAGGTGTGTGAACATGGCAAAGGATTACAAGAGGCTGCTTCATTATCACTTTAATATTTGATTAATCTTGTCCTGTTTTGGTGATGGGAAGAGGAAGAGGACACACATGAAATGCTTCTTTAAAAAATCAAAGGACAAACTTGCCATATTACAGGTACTCTGCATAGTCTCTCTCCTAAGGAATAACTCTATAGCCTTTCCACCTGAAAGAACAGTCAAGATTCCGGCAACAGACCTACTTTAAAGAGTCAAATTCAGAGTAATCTGTGCGTGCATTCCCACCCCTCCCTGCCACAGTGAGTCTTACCCACATAATTGGGAGCAACATTCAAAGATGTAAAATAGGGTTTGTCATTATAAGCTTGCAAAGATAATAGACTGTACATTTCAAAATGTTTTGCACCAGGGAACTCGAGATAAATTTGCTTTGTATAAGAGATTCACCAGGGTTTATAAATAAAGAAGTGGAGCCCATTGAAAGCCTGGTTTCTTCTGTGATTTTTTTTTTCTTTTTAGTAAGGTGATAAACAATCTTGTCTCCCAGAAAGGAGGTTTGTCCTTGGAGTTTTAAATATATAGATATACACCTACATGTTTGAGTATTGATGCATAAATGCATATTGCCTCACTTCTCTTGCATCCTCTGGATCAGGACCAATAATGTGGAGCTGAACCAGCCTCTGCACACCCTTGGGGAGGGGCCACATCATCTGGGCGATCTGTCTCCCTTTTCCCCAGGAGAAGAAAAAAATCTGAGTACTTGGAAAATATACAGATCCCCTGGCCACACTCAGTCCCTCAGGAGGATGGCCAAAGAGCAGGTATTTTTAGCAAAGCCCTGGGGAACACTGGTTACAGTGGGACACACAGCAGGAAAGGAAAGCTCCCCTCCACAGCCACCAGGCATGTGGGGAGGATAGGGTTCCATACCTCTCAACCACTGAACACTCCAGACCCCACAGCTCACAGCCTGCTCCAAGACTAACTTCCTGCTTGGGTCTGGGCCCCATGGCAACCTCCTCCATACTAGCTGGCTGCTGCTATGGTAATGGACCTAGTGGAAGAATTAAGATGGTTATGTATTTCTTAGCTCCCCAGAACTCCGCTTCCTCAAGATCATGAATATGTAAAGGACTAGATTAGAGGAATATGGGTAACTGCCAGAATTTTTAAGATAGAAAAAAAATGCTCTACATGGTAGACTAGGTAGGACGAGCTCCATGCTTTGAAAGAAAAGAATGGCACAACTAGAAAAATCAACCATTCTCAAGGAAGGTGTCAAGTTCTACACTTAATGCTCTGTCTTTGTGGGCAGCCATCCCCTCTAAGAGAGGTTCCCACATCACACTAATGTCAGGAGCCACTGTCTCATGCCTCCATTAGAAAATTCCCAGGGTCCAACACACTGGAGGGGTACTGCACACCGTGTTCAGGGGGCAAGTGGAGGGGTACGTTGGAGGGAAGGTAAGAGCAAAAGAGTCCATGGAAAGTTCCAGGCTCCCAGACAGGCTTTCTTCAGCTGCTCTCCATCCCGGGACAACTATGTTTTTCTTGCTCACCTGCTGCTCTTCTAGACAGCTCTTAGAGGAAAACATGCACCTGTGTTTGCATGCATGCACATGTACTTACACACACAGAAACTCACATAAATGCCTAATCCACGAATAGCTTCCACATAGTGTGCATTTTTCATGAATGTTTGAAGATCTACAAATGCATGGATTTCAAGATGGTTTTCACAGAGGAATGGGCATGTAGCCTGGTAGTTAAAATGTCCAGGTCTTATATTGGAGTGCCTGAGTTCAATTCCTAGTCCGGATCTTGAGTCCAGCTGCCTGCTAATGTGCACTCCGGGAGGCAGAGGTGATGGCTCAAAGAGCTGAGTCACACCTGGGAAACCTGGATTGAATTCCTGGCTCATAGCCTCAATATAGTTGCAGGCATTTGGGGGGTGAACCAGCAGATGGAAGCTCTCCACTCATGTCTCTCCCGGCACAGAAGTAATAGTAGTAACAACAACAATAATAAATGTTTTACATCAGAATGAACTCATTTTCTTAATGCTGATTTACACAAACTTTAAAAGTATTTCTTCAGGACCAGCATGATGGCCTAGCAGCTAAAGTCCTCACCTTCAACATGCTGGGATTCCATAGGGGCACCAGTTCTAATCTAGCAGCTCAACTTCCCAACCTGCTCTCTGTTTGTGGCCTGGGAAAGCAGTCAAGGACGGACCAAAGCCTTGGGACCCTGCACCCACGTGGGAGAGCTGGAAGAGCTCCAGGCAATATAGATATAGATAGTTATAGATATCTGACTTTGCAATAAAAATTAATAAATCTTTAAAAATAAAAAGCGCTCTTCATACACATACATGCACACACATCTCCTATGAAGATCAATGATTTGTAATGTTCAAAGTTGATATTTGCATTTTTAAAAGTTTCTTTAAGTTTTGTTCCTTTGAATAATGAACAGAACATTTTAATTACCTGTTCATTCATCCTTCTAATTCAAAGCTGTAGCTCAGTGTCTGCCCATTATCAGAGACAAAATTACTATTTCCTTTAACTGTAACAGAGCCCACAAACTCCTGTAGTCCCTTTAGACTGTCTGCAGATCTCATGACCTGCTGCAAGAGTGGCTTTTTTTTCTTTTCAACTGGATTCATTGTGAGGTAAGACATTTTCACTCTGAGCACTGTTTAGAAGATAGTAAAATTAGTAAGTATTTCTGAGATAAATTAATATATTCTTGGGCACTGGATAGAACAAACAGCTATAGCTCCTACCTTCATGAAGA